TGACTGGCAACAGGGGAGTGTTCCAGGGGGACCGGCAGGGAGTTAGAATGCCCTGCTCCAGTAGCCTCCTAATGTGAGGTTTGATCCCATCGCGGGCCTCCCGGGACATAGGATATTGTTTAATTGAGGCCGGGAGAGCAGATGCCTTTAAATGGACTATGATGGGAGCCTGCTGGAGGGCTAGTCCCATTCCTCCAGTCTCTGCCCAGGACTGGGGAAAGTCGGTCAGCCAGCGGTCCTCGACCTTAAAAGAGTCATCCTTGGGCTCATGTATTCTATATTCTTCTTCTAAGGCTATGGTCAGCACCGTGAGTGGGGCCCCTTCTGGCCCCGTGACTCTTATGTTGGCTTTCTCGAAATGTACTTGAGCCTTTAACTTCGTTAGGAGGTCTCGACCCAGGAGGGGGTATGGACAGTCAGGAACATGTAAAAAGGAGTGCATCACCTTACCGGTCGCTAGGTGGAGCTGGCGGTCCGTGGTCCATCGATATTGTTTCCCGCCGGTGGCTCCTTGTACCCAGGCAGTTCGGCGGCTCAGGGGGCCGGGTGACCGATTTAGAACAGAGTGTTGAGCCCCCGTGTCAACCAGGAAGGTGACCGGGCACCCCCCTACTGGTATGGTTATCCGGGGCTCAGGGGGGGGCTCCTGGCCCTGACCTCCCTAATCTTCGAGGCTCAGGAGGTCAGAGGTCTGAGAACGAGGTTTGGGCCTTTGAAATGCCCTTCTCTGTTTCTTGTTCTTGGGGCATTCTCTAGCCCAGTGTCCTCTCTCCTTGCAATATGCACATTGGTCTCTTTCTAGGCGAGGCCCCCTTTGTCCCTCTCTCTGCCTGTCCTGTCTCTGCTCTGCTACTACTGTGGCCAACAGTTTAGTCATTTCTCTATTACGCTTCTTGTCCCTCTCTCTCTCCTTCTCTTCCATTTCCTGTCTCTGACGTTCTGCCCTTTCTTGGTCCTCTTTTCTCCATCTCTCTTCCCTTTCCTCCCGTGTTTCTCTCTTGTTAAAGATGCGCTCCGCCTCTTTTAATACATCTGGTAGAGTATAACCCTGTAAATTCTCTAGCCGCTGCAATTTGTTTCTGATGTCAGCAGCCGACTGCCAAATGAAGGACATGGTCAGGCTAGTAGCTTGCCCGGGGTCCTCAGGGTCATATGGAGTATACATTCTGTAAGCCTCCTTAAGTCTCTCTAAAAATGCGGCTGGCGATTCCTCTGCCTTCTGAACTATCTGTCTTACCTGGGCCAAATTGGTAGGACGCTTACCTGCCCCTCGGAGACCCGCTACAAGCAACTGGCAATAAAGACGTAGATGGGTCCTACCTGCCTCAGTGGTGAAGTCCCAGTCTGGGTGGTCGAGGGGAAAAGCAGCATCAATTTCATTTGGAAGCTGCGTAGGTTGTCCATTTGCCCCAGGAACATTCTTCCGGGCTTCAAGAAGGACCCGCTGTTTTTCCTCCGAAGTGAGGAGGACCTGTAAAAGCTGTTGGCAATCGTCCCAGGTGGGCTGATGAGTAGTAAGAACCGACTCCAATAAATCAGTCAGTCTCACAGGATCTGCTGAAAAGGAGGGGTTATTATTTTTCCAGTTATAAAGATCAGAGGCAGAAAACGGCCAGTACTGTAATTGGCCATCATGGCCCGTCCGGAGGGGCAGGGCAGTGGAATCCGGAGCGGGCTGCTCCCTGCGGCCTCGCAGTCTAGAGGCCATAGCTGAGGGCTCCGGGTCGGTGGGAGGCGAAGGTTGGGCCTCTGCGGCTGCTGCTGCGGCCTCAGCTGCTGCCTGTTGACCTGCCGGAGGAGCCTGGTACGGGGGAGGTTCCTCCGTCAGTAAATCCAACAGGAGACCGTCTTCTGGAGGGAGGACTTTGGGGTCTCCTTTTTTCTCTTTCTGCTTAGTTACGGTGGGGTACAGGCCAGAATGGGAGGACTGAGGATGCGGGGAGGGGGTCAAAGGGGGCGGAAGGGGGGTGCGGATGGTTTGGAATTGGCGGGGGTTAGGGAGGAGGAGGAGGGGGGCCCTCCGGGGTGCACAAAGGGACACACCCAGGTAGGAGGATTATGAACTAACGCTTCCCAGGTGACTATGTAGGGTACTTGGTTCGGACGGCCGTGGGGCCCAGGATCCATCACTTTCTCTTTCACCTGGAAGATAATTTGAGAGTTAAAGGTGCCATCCCGGGGCCAGCCAACATTAAAAGCTGGCCACTCGGAAGAGCAGAAGGTGATCCATTCCTTCTTGCGCACATCGACAGTCCAGTTACGAGCATACTCCTGAACCTGTGGCCAATGTGAGAGGGTCAAACTGAGCGGAGTGGTAACTGTCTGGCCCATCTTCTCGAGAGTGATGACTAAGACAAACAAACAAATAAGAAACAAAAGCGAACAGATTTTCGCTGCGCGGCTTTTACGTAAAGTCAAAAGCAAAACTTCAGTTGGGCTCGGGGACGGGGGCCTCCCGCCCTCGTCCCCTACCAGGATGGAAAATCCCTCTGTCAGAGGGGGGTTCCCCAAACAGACGGGGCAGATTCCTAGGCATCTACCCCAAACAAACGAGTCCCTAAGGACTCCAAATACAAATGGGGCAGATTGACATCTACCCCAAACAAACGAGTCCCTAAGGACTCCAAACGCTACCAGGACGTCTCCTGGAGCTGCGGTCGGGAGTACGAATCCGTCAATTCCTCCTCGGTGCCGCCAAATACAAATGTATACAGCTGTATACTACAAACGCAGGCGCGAGAAAATAACAGGCATAGACAGACAGCAGACAACAGAAACAACAGAAATTTAGTCCGGACAATTCTTACCTCCCAGAAGTGGGTCGGTGGTCCCTGGGCGGGGGTCTCACATTCCCGGCCAACGCACCAAATGAAAGACCCCAGGCGGGGGACTTTCACGGGAAGGAGACCCGAACCCAAGGAACAACGAGACCACGAGCTTGGATGCAACAGCAAGAGGCTTTATTTACACACGGGTACCCGGGCGTCTCAGTCTTGGGGGGCTGAGCGCCCCGAGCTGGGGACTCAGGGGTTCTTTTATAGCAAAAAAGCGTAGTACAGAAGCGAGAAGCCTAGTTACAGGTCCCTGATTGGACAATTTAAATGAGGCTGGGGCTCAGAATCGAGAGCAATTGAGGTTTTGCTTGGAACTCAAGTCTCGGCCTTGGCCCTATCTGAGGAACAATAGGTTTCTGTGTGGCTATGCAGACAGTGGACACCTGTGTCCCTGCCTGGACAGAGTTCCCTTCTGATAGTAAGTGACTATTCAGCCATGAAGACCTTGAGCTGAGCTCTCTTCTGATAAAGAAGAATGACTATTCAGCCGAGCTGTGGGGGAAACGGAATTTTCCATAAGCCTCAGCTGCCTGTGCTGGGCCAGGGTCTTTCAAGTGGATCAGGTGAAAGACTGGAGATTTTTTATTTTATTTCTTATTTTACCCTTTTTTTATTTCTTTTTTTTTTCTTTTTCTTTTTCTTTTTTTCTTTTTTTTCTTTTTTTTTTTTTTTTGAGACTGGGTTTCTCTCTATCCTTTTGGAGGCTGTCCTGGAACTTGCTCTATAGACCAGGATGGCCTCATTCCTTCCTATCTCTGCCTCCCGAGTGTTGGGATTAAAGGCGTATGCCACCAACACCCAGCTCTCTGAATATCATAGCAAACATCCTCCCAATCTGGGACATTTAAGCCTTCCCCAGTAATGAATCATGGACTCCCTCGTTCAATCCATTTTAAAAAGCCTGCCATGGTTGTAGTCCCCTGTTCTTCAAGCAACTTTTTTACGTGATACTGTAATTTAAATTTCCAGGGACTATTTCCTATTGTTTCTTTTCCTATTTTCCTCCATTTGTCCCTGGCTGGCAAAAGGGAAGGCCCCGTCCACTTACCTCGCTTTCACGATCTCAGTAGGACCTCCAATTGTCACGTCTGCTGCGTGGCCTGTGTCCGAGAACGTGCGGAGGGTGTCAGGGATTGACAACACAGAGACTCGTTCAACGATGTAAAGAAAACTTTAAACAGGCTCCAAAAAGGTTCAAGAAAACTTCCTAAGAAAGGCTCCCACCAGAGAAGCTTCTGCTCTCTCCTCTCCCCTGGCTGGTTCTGCTCTGACCCCAGAGGTAGATGTGTGTGGGTTTTGAAGGTGCGGTTAGTCTTTTGACAAGGTCGAGGTCAGGGCGGTTTCCGTGGGAAGGCCTTTTCCAGGAACTTATTGTATCGTTTTTAGTAAACATGTTTTTACTAAACATTGTCTTACAGCTGCCTACTCCCAGGCAGAAGGGGAAGTGGGTCTCTGCTCAAGGTCTGGTGTTCCTGCAAAATTGTTCTTAAATTTTAATTGCAGTGCAGGATGAAGGCCAGGCCTTTCAAATATTAGGCAAGTAGTCTACCACTGAGCCCCAGTCCCGCTCCTAACCCCGCCCCCACTCCCAGTCTTTGTTCTTTAAAAACAGGGCCATGGTATGTGCAGTCCAAGCAGGCATGGAACTCATGATTCTTCTGCCGCATCACCTCTAGCGCAAGAGTTACAGATGTGCACCATCATAGCTGTCCAGCTGTTATTGGGTTTGTGTTTTTCTTTAGTCAGCTGAACTTATCTCATATATTCACACCCCAAGTTCATGAACTATGTTCAGAGTTCCCTTTTAAACGGAACTTGCTGATTGTCAAAGGGACCCAAGATTTGTAGCCACCATCTCTGTCTTAGTGGTTCTCTCTTCCTTGCACCAGGGTCTCCTGTAGACCAGGCTGGCCCTGTGTCTCTCACAGAACTGCTGTGCCTCTGGCCAGAGTGGGCAGACCTCAAAGAAACTGAGGATCTGAGAGAAGGACTTTTCCCTAGTTATCCGTGGGCAGGATGGGGGCTGTGGCTGCCATGTGGGGGAACACACTGAGTCAATTGTCTAGTGCGACTAAAGAAGTAAAGGGTGGGGGAGCTCCTAACCACACTGCCCCACCCCAAGAGACACACAGCCCCATCCATAACACCCCATACTACCCTACTCACCCTGGGTGGACCGCTCAGTTGCCTGTGTGTGCCGCACCTGGGCAAACACCTCCTCACTGGGGCACCTCATCAGAGCCAGATAGGCGTTGATGCGGAGTTCTGTGTCCTCCTCGGGAGCTTGGTACAGGCGAGACAGCACTGACCTCTGGTTGGAGAAAGACATCCATCACTCAGCACTCAACCCCATAGTGGCCCTGTTCCTACAGTTGACCCTGTGACCCCACCAGCTTCCTTGATGTCAATACCATAAGCAATTTATCTGGCACACTGTCACCTGTGGCCCTACTGTGGCATGTAGTGGGACTATGTCTATTCCCCAGACCTCTTATCCCAGAGCCTGGTCAGTTTCCATGCATACCAATATATATATATATATATATATGTATATATATATATATATCAGATGTACATGGATGCATTCCAATAAAGCTTTATTACAAAACAACATAAACACAGAATATAAATGTCTTGTCGCTCTCAGGCCCAGTCCTAAGGAAGTCACCTCTAGACTCTATGACTGTCCATCAGCCCCTCCTGACTTCCCTCTTGGTGTAGCCATCTGGTCACCCATTTGTTGCAAATACTTTCTGAGCATCTACTATGTACCTGATGGGATAGATGACATCATGAACATGACTGGTCCAGCCCTCATACACTTAACACTCAGGTTCTTGAGCAATGTGGGTTCACATTTGACATATATAACACATAAGGAAACACTGAGAGGCTAGACCAGAAACTCTGGGGATTTAGTAGGTTCAGTTTCAGGTGAAACAGCAATGAAGATGGCTGAGTGAAGAGGACTTTGTGTGTGTGTGTGTGTGTGTGTGTGTGTGTGTGTGTGTGTGTGTACACCATGGGCAACTTCCCCAGTACACTGTCACCTGTGGCCCACTGTAAGAGGTAGTTTGGCCACTACCTAGGTCTCCTGCAAGAGCAGGAAATGCTCTTAATTTCTGGAATTATCTATACAGCCCCTCTCCATCTTATACTTTTTAAGATCTTTTATTTTATTTATGTGTGTTTGCTTTTATGAATTTATGTACATCATGTGTGTACACACATGCATACATGTATAAATGCCAGAGGCCAACATCAATTCCTTCCCTCAATCACTTTTCATCTTATTTTTAAATTTTATTTTATCTGCATGAGTATTTTTCCTGCTTGTATGCTTGTATACCATATGTGTGTTTAAAGAGACCACTGATTCCCCTAGAACTGGAGTTACAGATGGTTGTGAGCTGCTGTGTGGGTGCTGGGACCTGAACCCCGGTCTTCTGCAAGAGCAACAAGTGTTCTTAACTTCTGAGACATCTCTCTGGCCCCACTCTGCCTTTTTTAAAGGATTTTTTATTTTATTTATGTATGTGTCCTTATATGAGTTTATGTGCAGCATATGTGCACATATTCTATTTATGCATGTGTCCTTGTATGAGTTACGTGCAGCATATGTACACATATTCTATTTGTGCCTTTTTCCATGCATGAGTTATGTGCGGCACGTGTGTACATATTCTGTTTATGCCCATTTCAATGAGTGAATTTATGTGTGGCATGTGTGTTTAGGAGCCCATGGAGGCCAGCTTCCCTGGAACTGGCGTTGCAGGTAGTGTGGTAGTAAGTCACCATATGGGTGCCGGGAACTGACCCAAGTTCCCTGTAAGGGCAGCAGAGCCTTTTCTCCAGGAGTTCTTCAGCTTAGTGTTTAGAAAGATTTACATATTGCTTATTTAAGGTCTCCCACTAAGCCTGGAGCCCAGTAGTTCAGCTAGACTGGATGGCCAGCAAACCCCATGGATTCTCCCATCTTTGTCCCCCTCCTCAGAGCTGGGATTGCAGGCATGGTCCATCATGCTCAGCTTTTATTGGGTGCTAGGGATGAAGCTCAGGTCCCCATGCTTGCACAGTGGGCCCTTTACCAACTGAACCATCATCCTAGCCATCTTCTCTCCCCAGAAATGTTCTATACACAGTTACAGATTGAGGCCTGAGAACATCTGGAAGAAAAAGTAGTAGATGAGGCTAACATGTGCCAGCAGGTCAGAAAACCAGACGGCAGAGAGCTCAGTGGTTCATGGGTAAGGACCTGACCTTGACTGAGTGACAGGCAGGTGGGCAATCTTTTCCTATAACTACTCAGACAATAATTGTATTGGGACTGGCAACTTCTCTTGCAATGATTCCACTCAGCAGTTGTAGCAACAAAGTAGTCCAGAGCTATCTGTGTACCAATAAAGTTTTATTTACAAGAGCAGATAGCAGGTCAGGAGGTGGCTCACAGAGTCTGCCATTGCTGGTACATGTGGGTTTGGACCATGTAGCAGTACCAGAAATCACATACTTATAGTTGGGTTTATTAGGCTCTAGAGGACAGAGGCAAAATACCTGCTCACACTGGTACCCAGCAGGCACCCAGCGCACAGGAGCTGCTCAATGAATGTGTAATGGCTTTGAAGGAAGAGATGAACTGATGGCCTAGGTCAAGTCCTCGCATTGCCCAACTGCAGCCAGAGGGAAAAACAAAAGGACTTACATCTGCAGAGCAAGGGATCCTCCGGAAGGCCTGGATAGCCGCCAGCCCGATCTCCAGAGAGCTGCTCCTCAGGGATGCACAGGTGCTCAGTACAGGGGCGAGAGCTGCCGCCGCCAGTCCAGCATTGCCAATAGCCTTCAGCACAAGCTGAAGCTGTAAAATCAAGGAAGTGGGGTGAACTGTGAGGTCTGGAAGGGTCCCCCCCACCCCACTCACTTGTCTGAGGATGACATGCCAGGCTCACCTGGTCAGCATCCGCAGGCTCTGGGAAGCTGCAGTTCATGCCCAAAGCCTCTCCCAGAATCTTCACAAGGGATCCAACCCCAGGTTGCTGTTGGCAGTGCCCATCCAGACCAGCACAGAGGTTGTGTACCAGAGCTGAGATGCCGAGGAAGGCACCCGGGCTGGCGCCCAGCGACTGCAACAGTGGCTAGGGATACACAGCAGCCCACCCACCCCAAGAAGGCTGGTAAGTGACACACAAAGTGTCCTCAGCCCTCCTCGACCCTGAGCCAGCCTGGCACTGGGTCCCAAGCACGCAGCAGTCTGGTCCCTACCTCCTGCTGTGAATAAAGGACTCTGCATGAACTTGTTTCTAGAGAGGCCCCAGGGGTCCCTGCTGTGTAGCCAGGATAGAGATCTAGAGATCTATACTCTCAGGCTGAAGGGGGATAGGAACATTCATGCAATGTCTACGGATATTTGGGGGCATCATAACAGGAGTTAGAAGGGCTAGGGGTATAGCTCGGTGGCACAGCATCTGTCTAGCACGTGCAAGTTCCTTGATTCGATGCCTAGTATCAGAAAAAAAATTAGCGAAAATATCATGGCTGGATGTGATGGTGTAGGCCTGTAGTTGTAGCAGTAGGGAGGCTGAGGCAGGAGTTCAAAACCAGCCTAAGCCACATAGTAAAATGCTCTTTCCAAAGAGATGGGGCAAAGCAACAGCAAGAACACCAGCAATTAAGGAGGTAGAAGGACCGACACGACCCGAGACCATGCGTCCCGCTCAATGGCCTCTCTGGGGTAAGACACCCCATGACAGCTACCTGATCCAACCTGACACCAGCAGCACTGAGTTGAATGACCCTGGTCCAAGCTGCCAGCTTGTGTGAACAAGGCGAAGGCCCCTAAACACAAGTTGAGTAGAGAATCCCCACCACAGGGTCAGGCCACACCACACATGGCAGAACAGCTTCTGCTCTTTCCTGAGAGCAAGACATGAGCCAAAGTCCTCTCTGCACCGAGTGAATCACATGAGCTAGCAACCTGGACAGGCTGACACTTACACCGGGGAGCTGCACGAGAGAGGCCTCTTCCAGAGGCCAGGAGATCCCCAAGAGCAGGTGAGAGTCCCTCTGTGTACCCAGGGAGGCACCCCTGGAGGACTGAGAGGCCTGAGCTGGGGGCTGGAGTCAGCTCAGGTGTGTCACAAAGACAACTGGTCCGCTAGAGCTGTCAGAAGGCGTCTTGGAAGTATGAAATTTCTCTAAATGCAAGTTTGGGTCTCCTGATTGTTGGACTATGGCTGTCTAACCACCGGCTCAAAAGCTGCCTGTGAACCTAGCAACCGGCTCCCACACCCAGTGTGCCTTGCAGCACACACGGCCCGTCTCCAGCTCATCCCTGCTCTCACTGCACACCAGCCCCCTGCCATCTCCTCTCCTCCATGCACTTTCTTATCAATGCTGTTTAGCTGTTGTAGAAGCCTCTCAGACAGGTGAAGTGATCTGCCTCACATGACCTCACATTGCCCAGCCTGAAGGTGATGAAGCCCTGCCTTAGTCCTGGGTTGGGTTCCCAGGTTCGGCTCTTGCTGCTTCTCAGAACAGCTCTAGGCTCAGTTCTGGAGAAAGAAAAGAAAGAAGAAAGGAAGGAAGGAAGGAAGGAAGGAAGGAAGGAAGGAAGGAAGGAAGGAAGGAAGGAAGGAAGGAAGGAAAGAAGACTGTGCGAGTGGGAGCTCTGGTGCCCTGGGTGTATGTAATGTTAGCTTGAGACCATCTAGTGCTGGCCAAGTTGGGAAAGGGGGTGGCTGGCTCTGTCCTGCTGGGCTTGCAAGATGGTGCACTGGTTCACACGAGTAGTCAAGGCACAAGGTATTCACATGGCGGGCCACCAGTGCACCTCTATACCAGCGGGTGTTTTGGAATTTCAGCATTTATATTTATGGGTGTGTACATGTAAAAGAGAGAGAATGTGTATGTGAAATTTGTATGTGTGAATATGTAGAAGTGTGTATGTGTGAATGTTGGCATGTGGATATCTGTGTGTGAATGTGTGTTCTGTGTAAATGTGTTATGTGTGTATGTGCATGAGTGTATATAAAGATGTATGTGTATGAATGTGTGTGCATCTCAGAGTCCATGAATTCTGGAACATACATCTCAGCATGTATCTTCTATGAAAACGAACACACACATATAGCCTGAAAGCACATTCTGGGGTTTGTTTGTTTGTTTGTTTGACTTGTCAAAGTAAAAGGACCCTCCATGCTGCAGACAAGAGGCTGCAGAGGCAGCAGGTGGGAGAAAGCCCGCAGGCCTGGTGAGCCGAGCTGATCCCTGGACGCCAGGGTGGAGGGAAAGGACTGTCCAGTGCTGTACTCTGGCACCCACACATGTGCCTCACATACACAGTAGTAATCAGATAATTTTCTAAAAGTTAAAAACATGATCATAGACTAAACTTTTAAAAATTAGAGACACGGGCGCATCAGACAGATTCACTGTACCTTGAAGGAGAAAAAGGTGTTTGTTGTGGCCTTGACCAAGAGCCCATAGCTCCACTGCCAGGCTGTCCTCACACTGTCTGTCTGTCCCACTCACTCCACTGCCAGGCTGTCCCCACACTGTCTGTCTGTCCCACTCACTCCACTGCCAGGCTGTCCCCACACTGTCTGTCTGTCCCACTCACTCCACTGCCAGGCTGTCCCCACACTGTCTGTCTGTCCCACTCACTCCACTGCCAGGCTGTCCCCACACTGTCTGTCCCACTCACTCGCTTTTTCCAGCTGTCTCCTGACGCACAGCACAGCTCCACCATACAGACAGGAAACTCAGGGAACGCTGGCTGTGTCCAAAAAGCTGCTGGGCCTCAGAGACACCATGACCCTCATCATCATGATGCTGCAGGGGACTCTGGCTGACTAGTCCCAGCCATTGAGTGTGTCACAACCACTGGCTGCTGTGCCCTCATCTGCTTCCAGTCTAGGATAGTCGGATGAGGACCCTCAAGAGGCACCTCTGCCCCTGAGGCCAACAGGAATGCAGAAGCTGGAGCAGAATTACGGAGCAGGATCCCAACATGGGCAAGCTGCCCTGCCTGGTGACCTGAGTTTTTCCATCTGTGAATCTGTAATGGTGACAGCGCCTACCTCTTACAGACATTGACAGGGAATGTGGCTCACTGATGGAAACTGCTGGCTAGCTTCACAGGGATTCCCAATTGCAGCACTCCCAAATAAATCTGCTTATAAAAAAATAGCTGCTCTGATATTTTTAATTGTGTGTATGTGAGAGAGTGTGCCTGTATGTGTACATGCCATCTGTCATAATCAGAAGATCCTCTGGAACTTGAACTAGTTGTGGGTCACCCTGTGAAGGTTCTGCAAAGACAGCCAGTGCTCCTAACCGCTAAGCTACCTCTCTAGCTCTGCAGAGGCCCTTAAAATTGCTTTACACACAGCATATAATTTCTCACCACAAGCGTAAGTCAAAATAACTAGGTCCATCCTTAGTTCCTGTACCAAAAACCAGTCTCAGAGGGCTAAGGAGACAGCCCCACATAAACCCTGGTGGGAGTGGTGGCCCACCTGTAATTACAGCATTCAAAAGGAAGAGACAGAGGATCCTCAGAGTAAGCTGGTTATCTAGAGTAGCCTGCATCAGTGAGTTCTGGGTTGCCTCTATGGACATGTACCGGCACACGTGTAAACCTAAACCCACACACATGCAAACCCAAACCCTCATACATGCAAACCCAAATCCTCATACATGCAAATCCACACTCACACACATGCAAACCCACACCCACACATGCAAACCCATACCCATGTGCATATAAACATGAACCCATACACACGTAAACCTATACCTACCCACATGCAAACCTGAGCCCACACACAAACAAACATGCATCCATTTGCACATTTTTTTAGAAAGGTCCAGACAGTTGACCCACATAGATCAAGGATATGGATCACTGAAATTCAAATCCAGATCTCACTGGTTTGACGGCACACACTTAGTTCTAGCACTTGGGAGGCAGAGGCAGAACAGTGCATAGTTTGAAGCCAACCTGGGATATATACCAAGCTCAGCTCCCTTCATATGAAAACCAAACCTATGATAGTAAATCCTGCCTTGTATACAGTACCACGGTTCAGCTCCATCCCTGGGCCATGAAGAGAATACACAATTCTAGCATGGGAGCAGATCACCCTCACGTGTCCAGCAACCCAGCCAAGGAGGGAGGTAGGGTCTGGGAGTGGGGGGCAGACTCACCAGCAGTGAATGCACCATGGCATCTGTTGGCTTTGGGATGAAGGCCAGTGACCACAGCCATGCCTCTGCCTGGTCTGCCTTCACCTCCCTAGCCAAGATGAGCTGCTTCATAAGGCCCACACAGTTCTGGGAGCCACAGGAGGGCAAAGCATCTACCAGCGGATGCCTGTGGAGCAACACTCACACGGGGACAAGCCAAGGCTAGGGAAAAGGGAGGGACAGGCCTGAACTCTCTGAGGAAGGAGCCATGCTAGGCCTGTGTTCATCTTGCTATGCCCAGCTAGCAAATGCAAGAGCCTTGTTCACCCTCCGCCAGGACCCACCAAGGGGTTGGTATGGGATGATGAGGCCCTGGATAGGCTGGTGGTTTCTATTTAGCCATCTAATGCTCTCAGCCCAACACCAAAGAATGTGCGGCTTGACTGATTTTACTGTCTTATTTCACAGTGCTCGGAATGGGGCCCCAGGGCCTCGCACGCTAGGTAAGCTCTATCCTGTGCTAGTGCCCTGCATTGGTTTGGTTTTTCATTTTGAGACAGAATCTCTATATATATTGCTTAGACTAGCATTGAACTCACTCTGTACCCAGGTCAGCCTTGGATTCATGGTTCCCCTGTTCCAGGCTCCAATTTAGCTGAGATTTCAAGCCTGGGCCAGGGGCTTATTTATTTATTTATTTATTATATATAAGGAATTTATTGTCCTTGTCTATTTTTGTTAAGACTGAAAAAAAGGTTAGAAGTCTCCAAAAAGATGTTGAGGTGTCCTGTTGTATGGGGGGGGCGGCAATATCTAGAGTGGGAACAATGACTGTATGGAGAGGTTCTCAGGTCATAGCCACCACCCATGGGCTCCAGCTGCAGGAGACTGTAGGGTGGAGACAGAGGTACCCCCGGCATTCCACACCATCTGCTCTGTGGATGACTCTCAGCTTGCTCAACTGTGGGATGGGAATGGGGTGACAATGACTTGCTCCAGGGCTGCAGGAATTCCCCCAGGGAGACGTGCTGTGGACAGAGAGTCATCCCCCAAACGATTTCCCTTGTTCGTCTGTGGGGCAAGGACAGCTGATACTGAAGAGAATACCTGCCCTCTTGAAACATACAGACCTGAGAAGGGGCTCCCTGCCTCTGAACCCAGAGATCCAGGCAGACAGATGGACAATATCTGCAGAGTTTGCCATGGAGAAGTACAGGCCCCTAAGGTTCAAGTTTCCATCCTAAGGCTGGAGTGGTGGCACAGGCCTGTGATCTTAGCATTTAGGAGAGTGAGGCAGGAGGATTGCTGTAAATTCTAGGCCAGCTGAGGGAGACAAACAGCCCTCCTCTGCCATGTGACTCCAGGGAAAGTGTCCTAAATGGTCTGTGCCTTCCCTAGAAATCCAAAGAGGAGAATAGCAGCAGCACTTGCAATGGGTTAATTTGAGGGTTTGATGAATGGATATCAACAGGGCCATAAAAGTCATGTGTTCCTTCTCATGTTATGTGGTCATTTTATAAAGGACAGGGGACTTCCCTCAGGTGACCCAGCACAGTCTGGAGTCCCTGGAGTGAGGTCCTCAGAGAGACCCCTGGGTCCCTTCACCCCCTTGCTGCCCCACCTCTGAGGGTGGGGATGAAGTTGAGGCAGAGTCGCAGCCTGCAGCACTGCATACTAGACACCTGGGAAATCTCCACAAGAGGGGACTCAAGGGACTTCAAATGCTGATCCCTGAGCATGTACAGATGCTGTACCCGGGGAAACAACACCATCTTTGTCGTGTCTGTCTGTCTGTCCGTCTGTCGCTCCACCTCCTGCCCCCCACCACCACGGTCGCCTTCAATCTCAGCCCGACAAAAGCTTGAATCTCAGGAGAAATTCCAGACTCCATGCAGGTAAGCTGGAGTCATACCCTGTCTGAAGACCCCAGAGAGTACCAGGGATACCCACCCCATCAAAGAATCCCCAGAGGCAGCCTACCTGTGGCTCCGCCTCCACCCAGAGTGAGGTCCTTACCGATCATCATGACGTCTAAAAGATGAAAGCTGCCAGACTTCAGTCAGCTCATCCACGGAAAGGCCTCGGAGCTCAGACACCAGCATCAGGAATATCTCTGCGGCCTGGGGTGCAGAGGTGACGAGATGTCACCTGGCCATCCCCTACTCCCAGGCAGAGACAGCTGAATGTCTGGACGGTGAAGTCACACATCCACCTTCCCGTCCAGAAAATACTGCATGTACTCCATCGACAAGTAGGATCTGTATCCCACACTAGGACGTGGTAGAGGAAGACAGGGCATGATCCCAGCACTCAGGAGGCTGAGGTAGGAAGACAAGTGTAAGGCCAGCCTGTCACAGGCTGAGACTCAGTGTCACAGAACCAAAAGAAAAAATGCCATGGAATCTGCAGGTGGGACAGTGGGCACCGGTGGAGGTCAGAGGTCAGCGTGGTGGAGCTGGCTTTCTCCTTCCACTTCACAGGGGCTCTGGGGACTGAACTCAGGTTACCAGACTTGTGTGGTCAGTGCCTTTACCCACTGAGTCATTTTGCTGGCCCTTGTTTTTGTGGTTTTGTTTTTTTGTTTTGATTTTGGTTGGGTTTTTGTTGTTGTTTGAGCTCTAGTCTCAAGTAGTTTGACCCGTCCTCAAACTCAATATGTAGCCAAGAATGACCTTGATTCTCCGGACTCTGCCTCCTGAGTGCTGGGACAGCGGACATTCACCACCGTGTCCCATCTCTGCATCTCCGGGGTCTTGTGCAAGCCAGAAAGGCACACTCTACCAGCTTAGCTCCATCCTTAGCTCCTTGGTGAAGCTTAGCTTGGATTCAATAGCTTTTCCTCTTTTACTTCAGTCGTCTTTAGTGAAAGCTGTGTGTGAGATTCAATCGTTTCTCCCTTAATTTGCCCTTTCCTGCTGGTCGAGACGTAGCTCTCCCTTCCAGGATTTTTTCCAGACTTTATCTAGTCTTAGGCTGGTGATAGTCCCATTGCTAGGGTGGATGCCCACGTGGACAGCTGTGCATTAGCCTTTTCTCGCCTCACTGTTCCATGGGAACGCCTCACTGTTCCATGGGAACACCACGTTTCTTTCCCACACGTGCACCACTTTGCTAATCTGCTGGCCTCCAGCGCACTTTCCAGTGGGCAGACAGCAAACTGGTACTTTTGTCTCTGCCCTGTGGAAAGAGGGGAAGACATGATCTTCCTCCTAGTGTGAGATGGTGCACTGAAATGTCGTTTGTGGTTCTTGTTCCGGCCAGCTGTCACAAAGGGATTGAACTTCATTTTTTCAGCTGCAATTCAGTGATGGCCACAAAACAAAAACAAAAACAAAATAAACCCCACTAGTTTGAATATTTAGTAAGGAACAAGCTCCAATTTGTAAATGTTACTAAATCATTCGTTAGTTTTTAAATTTTTACTTTTTTGTAGCATCGTCTGGCCTGGAACTCCTATACAGATATGTTAAGAGAAGCTTTTTCCTTGCTTGCCGATTTGGTTTATCCCCCGCCAGTCGCCTGGGCTCTGCCGCGCCAGCCTGGTTCTAGATCCGCATGAGTCCCAAATAAACACACAGGAGGCTGTATTAATTATGAAGCTGTTGGCCTTGTTCGTCTCTTACTGGCTAGCTCTGCCTTAAGTAATTACCCCATAATTGTTAATCTAAGTATGTTTCTTACCGGAGAATAGTTCCCGGTGTCCTACTCCCATGGCGTCACATGTTGACTCTCTTGTGTTTCTCCTACCCAGAATCCTCCTGGATTCCTAGCCCCACCTATCTAGATTCCTATTGGCCAGACAGTGCTTTATTAGCATAAGACTTCCCCAACATCTCCTCTTTTCTGTTTAAACAAAAAGAAAGGTCTTAACTTTAACACAGTCAAATTGTATATAACAGAACAGTTATCAAGTAAGAACATAGTTACAATATTTTAGCAAGATTTAAAGAAAATATCATCCATCCCATCCTTGTGAGTCCAAAGTCCTATATGTAGCTTATCTCTTATCATAACTAAGGTAAACTATAATTATAGCTATCTGTCTTCAACTCTATCAAAGACCACAGAAGGATAATATATAAACACTAGGATTGACAGAGACATCTTACTGCCTGGACAGTCACCCGAAGTTCCTCTGTAACGTTGGGACATCCATCTTCAGCCCATAGGCCACAATGTGTCTGGAACACTTCTCAGCAAAGCAGGAAATTTCAAACTGTCCATCTGCGTTGGCAGTCTGTCAGTCATTTTTCTTTGTCCTGCAGAAAGTCTCGTAGACTCTTCATCAAGCAGGAACCCTGTAAGACTGAGTTCAGTAGTCACTTTCCTGTGGGTCCTGCATGTCCAGATGATACAACAACAGTCAAGAAGTACAGGCAAGAGCAGTTCTTGCCCAAATGGCTAATCTTGCCATGTTGAAAGCAAACTTTATAACGAGTTTCTTCGATGCCCATCTTCCTCTCAGACGTAATTGGTGCTGCCAGGAGCAGACATTTCTCATTGTCAAGACAAACCCTAAACCATTTTAAATGCCATGTTCTGAAGGTCTTTGAGAGGTTTGAAGACTGTCCATCTCAAATATATTTCTGTATATCTAGAAACCTAACTTATGTAACTAGAAATTCTATTATAAGTAACTATCTATAGTCTGTATTCAATTATGCATTACGTTGTAAAAGATCAGTATAAGCACAATACTTAATCAAGAGGAGAAATATAAGCATCACAAAATTGACCTCGATTTTGTCTCAATAAATGAAAAACAATACCCATACCATAATTCCCCTTTTTACCATTAAAAGAGGATTGGCTGTGATCACTAGCCAATTATAAACAATCCCATTTAAATGAAAACAAAGTTTTATAAACAAGATGGGAATTGGGACGTCGCTTATTCCAAACTGCTTCCTGCTGGAAGGGGGCGCTGTTTATACCATGGGGATCATGACAAAACTCAGAAACCTGTATAAGTCCGTATTTTCGGGGTCTGTAAAGCTGTATCATCTTAGCTGTCTCAGTCGTTGAAACACCTGGTCCACTGCTTCCGGGGGTCTTGGTTCGTGAAACCACAGAAGCCTGGAAGGAATTCTCAGCTTTTCATTTTCTGTAGAAACATAAGCAAAAACTCCTTTTCCGAGTAACATATCCTTATACTTAAATTTTGAAGTCAAGTCATTTTCAAAAGATAGAAGTTGGATTAATTTAGCAGCCTTTATAATCAAGTGTACTTTAGCAGCTGTTCCTTCCTTAGCAATCAAAAAACTGAAAAACATAATAGCGTACAGTATCCAGACTCTCTGTGTATTTTCCATCTTTACGTGGCTTATTTATTTATTTATTATTACTTTATTTATTTTTCTTTGAGACAGGATTTCTCTTTGGAAATCTGCCTGCCTCTGCCTCTGCCTCTGGAGTAAATCCTACCAGCGTGCGCCACCACAACGCCGGCTTTTGTATTTATTTACCACTTTGCCATTTCATTTTCTCTCTCAGTCTCACGTATATTTTTAAACACACTGTAAACCTTTAAAGGTTTTGTTCATCCAAGTCTGACTTTACTGTAAATCTTTATGTTTTTCTGGCCACGTGTCTTATCTGTTAAAACCGCGGCAGTTTAAACTGACGGTTTTTTTCAAGATGGCGGGCGTAAGCATGACTCCAGCTTACCGCCTCAGTCCATGCTGACCCCCAGCAAAAACTGCCACTTCCAGCTGTACGTACACACCTTTCAATCGTTAGCAGAGTCTCTTAAAACAACCTTGCTGTTTTTTTTTTTTTTTTTGCTTAGTCAGGAAGACTCCGGTAAACGAGCCACGTGAATCTCGGCTTGTCGATAGCAAAACAGAGCACACCTGAGAAAAATGCTGCTACCAATAATCTGTGCTTCTCTCTGTTCTTCTGTTTCTAAAATTCCTTTAAAGCTTTTGTCATTCTGCGTGGAAATTCATCATCCCACTCCTGAGAGACCCACCTGCATCTGCATTAGAATGAAGGACCATCAGTGCTGTTACCTTCTCAGCTTGTTAGACCCAGCCTCACTCTTTAGCCCTGGCTGACCTCACACTCACCACCCTCCTTCCTCAGCCACTCAGGCACACCTCTGTCTGTGCCTGCCTTTCTGTTTGCATGTTGTGTTTATTTTCTATGGTTCTGAGGATGGAACCCAATGCCTTGTGCACACAGGAAAAGTGATCTACCCTCTGAGCTATGTCTGCAGCCCTTGAACTTTTTCCTACCAAAAGGTGACTGTCAGCAGTGACGGCAGGAAAGCATGGTCGCCTGAAGGCCGGTCATGGAGGGTCCAAACACTCCAGCAGACACAGGGCTGCCTTCAAAGCATATCCGTGATTCTTACAGTTGCTTAGTTTGGGGAGACTGACTCATTCCTCCCGTCTCAGCTTCCCTTTAGTCCCAGGTCCTTGCCACAACCTAAGCCCGAGGCCATGGGAGAAGTAAGCCCCGAGGAGCCATGCGAGGCCCATCTCCTGCTGCCTGCTCAGCAATGGGCCTGCCCAAGGCAGGGATAAGGCCCCCACTGCATGGCTGCCACCGTGACCAGCTTAGTCTCAGAACAACACAAGATGTACCCAGCATGGCTGTACATGCTGTAGTCCTAACCATTGAGATGCACAAATGGGGGTCATCATAAGTTACAGACAGCCTGGGCTACAGAGTAAGACCCTGTCTCAAAAACACAGAAAAAGAAAATTGCACAACATAAAGCAGACTCCTTGAGGCCAATATGTCCATCCCAGAATGCAGGGAGCCTCCCTGGGGTGGACCTTCTCTAATCACACTGTCTTCCCTTCCACTGGTGACACTCATGGGCAGCACCCATGACTGACTGCCACTGCTGCAGCTGGCCCTGACTCAGATAGCTACAGAGCCTCTCCATCACCCCACCATGCTATCTGGAGACCTCAGAGTCTTGGGCCCACTTCTCCATCTCTGACACCTGGCTGCAGGATTTAGGGACACCTATCTGCAGCCACCACCAGCATATAAATAAGCCCATGTTATATACCAAGGTATCTAGGGCATTTGGCTGAGGTATAAATCTGTGTTGGAGTGCTTCCCTAGCATGTGTAAGATCCTGGGTTCTGTCCCTAGTTCCATCAAAAAGGAGAAAGAAAAGAAAAGCAAACAAACAAACAAGAAACCCACTTGGCTCTACAGCCAGCATTTAATAAATGTGCACAACTTCAGTTTTCATTGAGAACACGTGTGCCTCGCTTCTCTCAGTCACCCCAGGGGACACATTCCCCTTCCCTGACTCCCGAGTGAAAGCTTTGGTTAGGGCTTCTCTCAGTCACCCCAGGGGACACATTCCCCTTCCCTGACTCCCGAGTGAAAGCTTTGGTTAGGCCATTCCCACCACTGTCCCCCCATATCACCAACACCAGCCCCCCCCAAGGAGGGCCACACTGGGAGTTTGCTTTCTATGGGGCACCAGGTCCTGGCTTTGTTTCAGGACTGGAAAAAAAAACCTTGTCTGGGGCCACTGGTTTTAGGAAGGGACTGAGACATTGTAGTCTCCTGGCAACACAGGCAGAGCGGTCCTCCCAGGGGGCTGCATATCTGGTGGGTGAGGGTAATGTCCCTGTAAGGCCTAACAAGGGACCTCCTAGGGAAGGAGGGGGCCCTCTGACACAGACACTGCTTGCCGCCTCAGGGAAACCCACACCCCATAGTGCACCTTGCCCCAGTCATGAGACCAAGGAACATGGGCAGCCTCTAATTCTGCACGAGTCCTTCAGCATGTTTGAGGCAAGCGGTTAGAGAGGCATGTATGAAGTCATAGTAGGCACTACCGAGGTGCCCATTCCCAGGGCATGGGCAGATCAGCAGGTGGAGGGTTGTGCAATGCTCACAGAAAAGGCAGGAAGTAACCTAAGCACTCATCTGTCAGATGGAGTACATTGGATTCTATTCCCAACAGTGTACAGTAAAGGTGATTCTTCTCTGGGAGGCCTGGGACTATGCCTTAGTTTGGGAACTGCTTGCCTAGTGTGCACCAAGTCCTGGGTTCAATACCCTAGCACAGAATAAACCAGACTCGATGGCACGTGTCTGTAATCCCAGCACTTAGGAGGGAAAAGTATCAGAACAAAAGTTGAAAGTCATCTTCAGCTACACAGCAAATTCTAGGTCAACCTAAACTAGATGAGACTCTTGCCAAAAACAAAACAAAGCTGCCCTGTCTGTGTGTGTTTGTCCATGATGCCCCTCTCTAGAGAAGTGTTAGCTTTACGGTGACAGGAACAAGCTGGCCATGTCGTAACTCTATGCCCAGAACCAGGTGCCTGATGCAAGAACAGAGTCACACTTGTACCTTAGGAGGTCCCTTATGTCAAAGCTGAAGACCAGACCACTTCATCTCCATGACAACCTCCAGGGGAAAGATGCTGAAGGCAGGCCTGAGTGGCTGGGCCGGGCTCTGAATTTGAAGAAGGGTTAAAGCCTGGCTTCTGACATGTGTCTTTGGGGAATTCAGGCTTTAAGGGAGCAGAATAGAGGAGGAGGGGCATGAATGCCACTCATAAATACCATTCACAGGTTGCTAGCTAAAGGGTGTGACATTTCCTTAACCCCTTGTAGGGAAATGGTCAGTATACCATATAGTCAGAGCTGAGGAAACCAAGGCAGCGAAGCACATGTCTCTGACAATGAGGTCCTACTCAGCACTGGCAAGGAATGGAGGCCAGATTCATGCTGCATAGTGGACTGATGGCTAATAAGTAGGGTTTGCCTTGGAGAGTGATGCACTCCAAAGTGATCTCAATGATGGGTATGCACCTCTGAGTAAGCCAGAGCAGATGCCGGATCAGACTCTCTGCTCTGCTTTGCTTTGGGTTTTGCTGTCCTGAACGCTCACCAATCCTCCTGCTTCCAGAGTCATCCTCTTCAGTGCTAGTGTGATGGATTCACCACACCCAGTTTGACTGGACACTTAAATGGGTGGCCAACATCATGTGTAAAACACATCTCAAGAAAGGTGGGTTTTGCTTGGGTTTTTGTACGTGTATGTGTGTGTGTGGTATGTGTATGCACATTTACATATATGTGGGTCCACATGTGTGTTGATATGCATGCATATGTGCTCATGTGAAGTCCAAGATCCAGATATTTTTGATTGCTCTTTTACATGTATTAAGGCAGGGACACTCACTTGAACCCCAAACTCGGCAATTTGGCTAGTCTAACCAGACAGTTTACTGCCCTTGGCTCTGCCTCCCATGCACTGGGATTGCAGGTGAGCTACCATGCCCACCCAACTTTTTTTACTTTTTAGATTTATTTTTATTCTTAATAACCTGCATTTGTCTATGTGTGGGTATGAGCATTTTTTCCAAGACAGAGTTTCTCTGTGTTGTCCTACAACTCACACTGTAGACCAGGTTGGCCTTGATCTCAGAGATTGGCCTGCCTTTGCCTCCTGAGGGCTGGGATGTGTAAGCAGTACATGCAGAGGCCAGAAGGGGGCACCAGATCCCCTGATGCTGGAGTTACAGGTGGCTATGTGCCACCCAACATGGGTGCTGGGATCCAAACTCAGGTCCTCTGCAAGAACAATGCATGCATCTAATCACTGAGCAACTCTCCAGCCCCAGCTGGCTTCTTATGTAGTTTCTGGGATCTGAGCTCCCTTGCTCATACTTTCATGACAGTGTTTTGCCTAACAGCCATCTCTCCATGGAGACCCTCAGTTAAGGAGTTTTTCAGAAAGACTAATTCTAGCAGGAGTGTAGATGTGGCTCAATGGTAGAGTACTTGCCTAGCTCTCACAAGGCCCTCGGTTCAATCCTGAGCATAGAAAAAAAGGAAAATAAGATAACAGAAACCATAGAAAGATGGAGAGTTTGGGACCAACCTAGGCCTTGTAACAAACACTCTTCCCAAAACAAAAACAAGAGCCAACCATGGTGGCACATGCCTGTAATCCCAGTGAGTTCAAGGCCATCTCCTGCTTCACAGTGAGTTCAAGGATAGTCTGGGCTACATGAGACTCTATCTCAAAAAACCGAAGCAGTAACAAAAAAGTGATAGTAAGAATAATGTTCTTGGGGTTGGAGAGATAGACCAGTGGTTAAGACCCTGTCTGCTCTTCCAGAAGACCCAGGTTCAGTTCTGAGCACCCACATGGTGCCTCACAAACATCTGAACTCCAATCCCAGGAGAGCCGATGCCCTCTGCTGGTCTTCACAGGCACTGCACACATGTGGTGCACAAACATAAGCAAGATACCCACACACATAAAGTAAAAATAAAGGTTAAAAATAATAATGAATTTTAAAAATTAAATGTATTGTTAATATTTCCTTATACAGAGGAATAATTGTCTCCTAAAAAGACAAAAAACAAACAAATAAAACCAAAAGTATTTCTCCTTGCCCCAGACATAGGCCTTATTCAACTCTTTCCATGTACCACTATAACAGAGAGGCACAGCACAGGGGAGCTTCATATTAGCAGGAACTTTCTAGAAAATCGGGAATCCTGAACCAATTTGTCCACAAAATAGACAGACTAAAAGCGTCGTTGAATTTAAAGCAAATTTCCTACAAAAGCCCAGACCAGGAAATTTCATCTGAAGACAATTCAGAGAGAAGGGAGAGCCAGTGCCCTCTGAGCTGGCAGAGAGCCCAGAGAAACATCTAGAAGAGGCTGGCCCTTGACAATGACCATTTCTGGGACAGTTCAGGGTTATACAGTCGGGGAAGGCCTCTGTGGAGACAACCGGCTTCCCACTATGGCCAGGGTGACCGCCGCGTGGAAAGGACAGCGTCACCTGTGATGGCTGGGTCCCGGACTTCCGTGTGCAGCAGTGTGATGGAGGACAGCACCAGTGTGTGCACAGCCCTGGCCTTCTGGAACAGGGGTCCCGCCGTGTGTAGCTCCTCACAGGCAGCATGGTGCAGTACGCCGGCCTGGAAGCTCTGCCGACAGCTGAAGCTGGAAGCTAGACTGGACTGGACCAGGGCAAGACGCACACTCAGACCACATCCTGGGGACCCAGGCAGGAGCTGCAGCAATCAGGAGGGCTAAGGGCCACAGAGGAGCTTCAGGGCCTCACCCCCCAGCTGGGCAGTAACACAGTAGACCAGGTAGAAGAGGGCGAGAGATTAGAATGGGAAAGTCTAGCGTTCAGGAGCTCAGGGACAGGAAAGACGCTGCAGTCGGGAGGGTAAGGGGTGGTGGGTGCTGTGCTGTGTGGACAAGGTTCTTGGCCTCTCTGGAATAGAGGTCGGTGTGAACACAAAACCCCTTTCTCCCTTATCCAGGCGGCCGCTGTCCAGAGCGCGTGTCTGTCACTACAGGAAGGTGTGAAGGAGAAAGTGGGAGAAGATATGATAGGTGGGAGGAGGACAGATGAAGGGGGATGCGGGAAGCGGGGAGGAGCAGGAAGGGCAAGAAGAGAGGAAGGAAGAGGGGAGGAGGGAGAAAAGAAGAGGAGGAGGGAAGGCAGGAGGCAGGCATTGCAGCACAAACCTTTAGTCCCAGCACTTGGGAGGCAGAGGCAATTGAAGGAGGAAGGGAGAGAGGAGGAGAGGATGGAGAAGAAAGGAAGGAAGGAGGGACAAAGAAAAGGGACAAGGAGAGGATGACAGCGGGAAGGAAACTGGGGGGGGGGGTACGCTTACCATCCCAGGCAGGGGCTGAGTGTTCAGGGAGGAGCGAGCTGTGCGCAGAGAGCATAGCGACAAGTCCTTGGTCTTCAGCAGCTGATCCCCTTGGCTCTGGTACGTGGTGGGGCACCGGCCCAGGATGTCTACCTGGGATGTTCCATAGAGCGGTCACCCCCTGCACCACCTCCACTCCGCTGCCCCTCCCTTCCGGCGCTGGTGCGCTGGTCTCACCTCCTCAAATGTCTTGGACTTGTGGACCCCTGGACAGCTCTGCACAAGGCTCAGAACCGATCGCTTCACGTTCAAGGCCCAGTGTGGCTCAGAGCGGTGGGGACACAAGTGGACCACGTGCCTGGCACTGAAGATGAAGCCAAGAGGATTGCGGCCCAGAGCAGCGCTGTGGGAGGAGGGATGGAGTCACAAGTGGCTGTGTCCTGCAGACCTCCCCATAAGGAACACCTGGGTACTGCTTCCCACTTCTCTCTGCTCCAGGATGTCTACTGGGCTTGTGAGCGTGGGGACAAAAGCCACAGGCAGGTGAGCTCGTACAGAAGAGGCTCAAGATCAGGCTGAGCTCTGAAACTTCCCCCTGAATTCAGAATCTGTTGCCCCAAATGACACCCCAAGGACACCCAGAAATCCATCCGTGTCAGACAAGCTTTCACTGGACCCATGAGGCAAGCCCCCCTACAGTGTCACCTACCAGAGAACAGCAACTCTATCACAGGAGAAAGGCAGATCGTCCAGACTCTGGTCAAGGTGTCACTATCAGTGCTGGGGACTGAATCTAGAACTTGACACATGCTAGGCAAACACTCCACCAATTAAGCTAGCCCCACATTTTATTATGACTGGGAGTAGGGGGTTGCATTAGTGAGGACTGAATCCAAGGCACCGCTCATGATGAGCAAGCACTCTCACTAAGCTATAACACCCTTTCTATCTGTCTTTCTTTCTCTTTTCTCTCTTTCTTCCTTTCTTTTTAGAGAGGTTTTGTTGTTGTTTTGGGTTTTTTTGTTTTTGTTTTTGTTTTTGTTCTTTGAGACAAGGTTTCTCTGTGCAGTCCTAGCTGTCCTGGAACTCACTCTATAGACTAGGCTGGCCTCAAACTCACAAAGATCTGCCTGCCTCTGCCTCCTGAGTGTTGGGATTAAAGACGTGCACCACCACCACCACCCCACTTCAGCACAGACAAGACATCATGGAGCTACAGCAGAGGCTAAGATCTGGTTCCAAGGTCAAAGGCCTCAGAACCATGGGAATTGCCTTGAGAGTCTGTCGCTGTGAAACAGGCCTTGGAAAACCAGTTTTTACGTTAAGCTTTGACTAGACAGAATTAAAGCATGATTTGTTATGTTGGACTCCTTCAAAGTGGACCACTGCTTTCCTCTACCGAGCAACACATGTGAGTCACTTGGGAAGTGGGAACAACTGAGCAATTGCCCAGATCAGACTGGCCTGAAAGATTGTCTTGATTGAGGACTGAAATAGGAGGCCCAGCCCACTGTAGGTGGCAGTGTCCCTAGTCAGATGGGCATGAACCTTACACAGCACCTATAGGAAGTTACAGAGTGAGCCAGTACCCAATGTTCACCCAATGGCTTCTGCACCGACTTCCCTCAGTTGCTATGGTCATAGTGTTGATCCCAGCTATAGAGCACAGACTGGAAGAGCATGCTACACTGTACAACCCATCTTATCCTTCAGGGCTGGAGGTACAGCAGGTCAGTTCTAACCCTGTGCTCACCTTGGATTCCAAGAAGAACAAAACAATAGGCACTTCAAGTAAGGCACATCACTCCCTAATAGAGGGCAATTAGCCACCAAAGAGCAGAGATGGTCACCTTGTGGGTACCAAGCAGCCCCTCGAGCGCTGACAGCGGTACGAACTTCTTCAGACCACCTTCACAGAACCAGACTGAGGCAAGGCCACACCTTGCCCATGTCATGCATACCTCTTCTGTACCCCAATTCTTCCTCCAAAGCTCATGTCAGCACCCAAAAGATGGATGAGGGACCTCTGCCCCCTGCGTCTGTTCTTCCCAGCATGCCATACTGATTAGGTTGCCTCTCTCTGTTTTTCACAATCATTCAGTATTCAAATTGATATATCAGGACTGTGGCCAAGCCCAGCTGGTGTGAACTGCAGGAGCTCTGGCTTTTGCCCTCAAACTCCAGGTTATGATCATTCAAACTAGGCACACAGTAGCCAGGAAGGTGCCAGGAGCAGGACCGAGCCTGTGCCTCTGGGCCCTGCTCTCACCTGGTAGGACTGCTGGTCAATGCCTGGTCCCTGGAAGGTGGTGGGGGGAAGGGTGCTGAGGTCTGCATCTCTATGTAGATACAGGAGACCAAGGTGATGCAGGACTAAGGGAAATGACCACACTCCAAGCCCACAAGCCGGTAATGCAGGCCCTTGAGCAAACAAAATTGTCCCCATTTCCACCTCCCAGGGAGACCCCTGTACCCTCCATCTCCAGTTGGTGTCAGGGGTGAGGGTCCTAAGGCAGTGCCTGGGATCTCAGACCCTGGGCTTACAGAAATGCTAATGGTACTTTCTCAGACTACAAGTGTCAGTCTGGTCCCAGGAGAGTGACAATCCCCAGGGCCCCTGACTTAGCATTTCTGATGAGGAGTGGGGGACAATAGGCCCCTTAGAGGAGACAGCCCCAAGCCTTTCAGGGGACCCATCTGACCCTGGCCAGTATCTCCCACTCTGTCCTGTCCCTGCATTCCTAGACAAAGGCTTTATTTTTTTTGTAACAAATGAATTTGCAATAAAAAAGGGAAGAGGAATCTGTCAGATGGGGCCGTCTTTGGGCTGACTGCCCCCGAAGCTTTGAGCCCATGTCAGGGAGCCCTGGGAAACCAGCATAAGGCAGAGTTCCAGGCTTGGCTGGGTCACAAAAGGGCAGCTTAGTCTGGGGGTAGGCAGGACATTGCCTTTTACCTCCTCAGACAATGGGAGAAGGGAGACCAGCTGGCCTCAGGGGGAACAGAGATCAGAGCCACCCAAAAATCACATAAGAGCTGTGCCCATTGGGTAGCTAGCAGATAGAGCTCTCTACCTGCCGCAAGTGAGTGGCAGGCAGTAATGGAGAGTCCCCTCCATCAGAAAAGAAGCCACCTGACCATGCTATTTGGAGTCATGAAAATTCCTGTTTCATTGGTGGTCTACCCGGATCACTTGACAGAGTCAAAACATGAACATGCTAGGTGTGGTGGTACACATCTGTGATCCCAGCACTCAGGAGGCAGAGAAGAATCAGGAGTTTAAGGCCAACCAAGGCCATGTAACAAATTTGGGGCCAACCTGGGCTACGATAAAACCCTGTTTGCAAACAAAACCTGTTTTGTTTTCCAAGATAAACCTTTATTTGGCCATCACTCCAAAGTGACATCTCTTTAGCATCCCCCTTCTTGGGTTTTCTGTTCTGGCTTAGTGTACCCAGAGCCCGTTAGTCATGGGAAGGGGTTACGGGCTCATACACAAACTCTCAGGCCAGGGTCTTACCTCAAACTCGCTGACTCCTTCAAAACCTTCACCTGGGACCCCAGAACAGATGTCACCTGGAAGTCTGGAAGCTGAAGCAAAGAGTACTATGAGGTGGTGGCCTCTCAGCTCCCTTCGTGATGGAGGCTAACGTCCCTTCCTCAGAGAGAAGGTTCTGCATCCCGGGTGGTGGCCACCCAGAGACTCCAGTCGTAAGTAATAGAATCGGTCTGATAGAAGGGATCCTATGACAGGAATCTATAGACTAAAATAAGTAGTGGTTGAGTGGTTGGAAGAAATGGTGCTTGCAGCCAAACCCAATGACCTGAGTTCAATCCCCGGGACCCACACAGTCGGAGGCGAGAACTGACTTCCCACAAGTTATCCTCCAGCCTCCACATGTACACTCACACAGAAATAAATTAATAAAGACTCTGCCAATGAGATGAGTTTAAGTGACAGTGTCAGCTGCTACTTTAGAGGGCTAATTTTGAACCCAGAGCACAACCAGTCAAAAACACGTACAAAAATTCACCAAAAACAAATGTGGTGGCATGCAACTGGATGCCCCGGCATCACCAGGGCTGGTGATATGTGTGCTTATTACAACAAAAATTAGGTTTTCAAGAATCAGGTATGGTGGTGTCTCCTGTGATTCCCTCACTCACGTAAAGCTGAGAAGCATGGCTCATGCCTGTAATCCTAGACCTGGAGCGGGTCTGAGGATGACCAACGCAGGAAGATGTGTGTTCAAGGGCCACTCTGGGCCACATTTGAGTTCCAGGCTAGCCTAGGCTACACAGTATCTGAAAAATAAAAGTAATTTTAAAAGTTGGGCTGGGGATATAGCTCCGTGGTTGACTGCCTAGAATGCATAAAATGAGCTCTACACCCAACACTGGGAGAAAATAGAAAGGAATTTTTAAAAAGTGTTTATTCTTCAGGTGTGGTACACACCTTTAATCCCAGAACTTTAACCCTAGAGGTGGGGGGGGGCATTCCCAGGTGTGCCTACGCCAGGGGTTGATATCAGCGTCCTCCTCTGTCACTCTTCACCTCATTTTTTGAGACAGAATAGCTCACTGAATTTGGAATTCACCAATTGGGCAAGACAAGCTGCCAGGGAGCCCTGAAGAATCCTCTATGCTCCACATCCTCAGGGCTAGAATCACAGGTGTGTGCCCAAGCCTAGCTTTTCCTGTCAGTGCTGGGGATTTGAACTCAGGTCCTCATGTTTGTCAGCAAGTGCTTTACCCACTGAGCATTTTACAAGCTCCCCAGAAGACAGGGCATAATGGAATGAAGATCTGGTACATGTTAGAATATAGGCAAGTTTTGAATGAGTCGTAATCAGTGAGAGAGAGCCAATAAAAAAAAAGCTTGCCAACCAAGTGACTCCACGTTACAGAAGTAAGAAAATCCCTAGACTCAAAACAAATAAACAACAACAAAAAAAGAATTCGGAGTTGACTTAGAACCATCACAAAAGACACCATTCTGTGGTCCATGTGAAAACACACAGAACAGTTTCTGAGAAACTCTTTCAGCAAGTGTTCCAGCCAGCTCAAGAATGTTGCATAAGTCCCATCAAAACCTCAGAGGAAACCAAGGCCATGTATATGGCATGGGAAGGTTTGTCTAAGAAGCAGGACAGTCCTCATAATAGGACACATGGGAGTAGGTGAGCAGTTCCCCTTAAAAGGATACAGGGGAGCTTTTGATACTTGGGAAAAAAATAAAAATAAAAACAATAAAAATTCAACCGCCCAGTGAATTGAGCCCACTGTTCTGCCAGGACAGACACCACTGCATCTAATGGCTCCTAAGCCTGTGGGCCAGGCAGTGCAAGGCCAGTGTCAGCAGAAAGAAAGACAAGGCAGCCTAGATGCTCAGCTGAACATGTTTCCACCAGTCTACTCGTGTTTGTGTGTGTGTGTGTGTGTGACTGTGTGACTGTGTGACTGTGTGTGTGTGGCTGTGTGTGTGTATGTAAGCCAGAGGTTAACTTTGAATGTTTTCTTATCACTCTCCATTTTTTTTAAATCTGAAGCTTGTGAATTTGGCTCCGATGAGCCTCCTGTCTCTGCTTCCCCATAGCCCAGTTACAGGGATACATGGCCACACCTGACTTTTGACATGGTTACTGGGGATGTAGCAAGCACTTCACCGACTGAGTCAGTCCCCAGCCCAGGTCCAACTCTGTCAAAGGCTTTGGCTTGTTTTGACTCACCCACACTTTGGACCTTCACACTTGACCCTCAGTTAAATTGTCCCCATGTCCTGTGCACCTGTTTCTTCCTGCTGGGCCACTGAAGTGTCACCTGCAACTAAAACAGTGTTCTTTCCACAACCCCTTCCTGGGAACCTCACCTCCTGAATCTGAGATACCTTGTAAAGATTTCTGTTGACAGATTGGAAATTCAGGGACTGTGTCACCTCCTTGTGCCACCACAACCTCCCAGCTATGCAGACACTCACCCATAAGGTCATCTGGCATGGGCCTAGCACTTCAAGGATGGCCAAGCCCTGGAGACCCAGGCCACTTGTCTCCAGTGGCACCCCCCTCAGGCTGGTGCTGGTGTTGCTGGAGAACCGGTAGGTGTATCTGGTGCCCACAGGGAGATGTGTCCCTGCTGTCTCTGGAACCAAATGGAGGGAGCAATGTCACCCTAGCAAATGTCACCCAGCATTGTTCCCACTCCCCTCTCTCCATGTGAACCCTGAGAGGCTGGCCTGGCTGGAGAAGCCAGGGAGCAGCAGATCCCCTGAAGGGCTCAGAAGAGAACAAAGACACTCCCAGAATGTGCTCAACCTTGGTGATACATAGGTATATGTACACACATGTACATGTGTCTATGTGTGCAAATGTATGTGGAAGCCAGAGGACACCCCGGCTGCTGTTCTTTGGCACCTAATTTTGTCTTTAGACAGGATCGCTCACAGGCCTGGAATCCTGAATTCAGCTGAGCTAGCTGCTCAGCTCAACAAACCCCAGGACCCAGGCAATGGTACTGCAAATGTGAACCACTATACCTGGGTGCTTTGTATGTGGATTTTGGCGATCGGGCTTGTATACTTATGTTTGCTCGGTAAGCATTCTATTGACTGAGCCATCTTCCCAACCACCCAAGTGGGTATTCCTTACTTTCATCATTTTACAGAAACTTAGCAAATACCACATTCAAGCCTCAGCAGCCTCCAGCCAGTGAGATGGCTCAGAGGGTCAAGGTCGTTGCCAACAAACCTAATGACTAGAGTTTGATTCTTGGAGCCCAAGAGTGGAAGAAGGAACTTACTCTTTGAAGGTGTCCTCTGACCCCTACACACGCATGCATCACCACACACACACACACACACACACACACACACACACACACACACACACACACACACACACAGGAACCAACCTTGGCAGCCCGGCTCCTCCTCCTCCTCTACTACCCTGATAATTATGAAGTAGGAATGGGCTGTTAGCTTCCTCTTAGTAACAATCCAGGCAGGAAAGGTGGCCAGCCTGGACAGAGGTCTTGTTGGGGGTGAGGAGGAATTGCTAGCAGGAAGAGTGGCTGTAAGGAATAGAGAGGGGTCTGGAATTTTCTAAGTCCACCTGATGGAGAAATGTGAACGTTACATTGTCCAGTGTCACTCTGCCATAGCCTCAGGATACTTATCTCTTTCTCACCAATTTGCTTCCAGAGTTTTCTGGTCTGCTCCACCCTAAAGACAAATGGGATGTAGGCCAAAGACATTTATCCACCTGGGCACTCCAAGGCAGAAGGAAAGTGTGGCTTGGGGCCGGGGTGGCTTGCTATTGGAAACTCACTGTGTGGGTGGCTTGGTTTCTGGAAGCACAGCCGAGGCTCTGTGGGACTGCTCCTCACCCCACCTTGCAGCCCTGCTGTGCTCTGCACCACCCTTGCTCCTGCTCAGAGGTGTGACTCAGTGTCCCTGGGACATGCACTCACCTTTGCAGGCCATCATGCAGGACGTCTCCTGTTTGACGCGTGAGCCTGCAATTTCTGAAAGCGCAATCAGAACCAGGGCAAGATGAGAAAGAGGCTTGGGATAGTACCCCACCCCGGGGACCACCCACCTGTTGAAGGAGAGGATGAGACAGAGCGGGCAGGAGTGAGGGAGCTCTCCAGCTCCTGCCCTTCCCCGGTTCAGACGCCAATACCAACGGCCCCGATGGCTCAGGCAGGTGGGCCTGGAAGTCCTGTGTGTCTCTGCTTTTTTCTTCTGCCCCAACCCCACGTCTGATGCATCCATGAGTCCTGTTAGTCCCACCAGCTAGCACTAGTCTTCCTCCCTCCCTCGTTCCCTCCCTCCCTTCACCCTTCTCTCCACCCACCTGTCCACCCATCCATACGGCCATGGCTTCAGGTCCATGCCTCCAGCAAAGCTACACCTTCTCTTGCCCAGACACCAGGGGAGCCCTCCAATGCTCCAGTGGCCACGGGAGACGGTCCAGTCAGTAAAGTACAATGGCTGGAGTTTGGATCCCAGAATCCATACAGAAGTCAGGCACTGTGGTGCAGACTTGTAATCCCAGCCAGTGCAGCCTGCTTGGCGAACTTCAGGCCAAATGCAAAAAAAAGCTAACTCAAAAAAACAGGATGGATGAGGGAGAATGACCCTAGGTTGACCTCTGACCTTTGCTTACACAGGCATATGCATGAGCACATACAAACACACACGGGGGGGGGGGTCTCCTTTTTTGTTATAAAGTCTCAGCCACAAAGCCAGCCTTCACCCACCCCTCTGGCCATACCCACTGTCTCTCACCCCCCTAGCCACACTGGGCTCAATGCCTTGTACAAGCTAATTCTGTCTAAAACTGTTCCTTCTACCCTCTGAACTTCCAGCTGCGTTAGGCCCCAGAAGAAATGCCTTTCCCCAGAGCCCCACCCTGCCTAGTGAAGGTCCCTGCCTGTCTTTCTCTACTTCTGCTCTTTATCCATAACTCTTGTAAAAATTTGTTTTAATTATTCTGACTTAGTTAACTTTGTAGCCTTCAGCTTCTGGAAAAGAACTCAGCACCCAGTAGAGAGTGGAAAGGTTAAATGAATGAATTCCAATCAAATTATATATTCCACCAATCCCATCTTCCTAATATCCAGAGAAGGCTTACTAGCAAAAGAAGCAAGTTCCAACACAGCTGGGCCCACTCCACAGTTTTATCACTATTCTATTACAAATAAGAGTTAGTAAGGGCCAGTGAGATGGCTCCGTGAGCAAGAACACTTGCTGCCAAAGCCGTATGACCTAAGTTCGATATCCAGGACTGACAGGGTGAAAAAAAAACCCAACTCTTGCAAGTTGTAATTTGACCTTCACATGTGTCCTGTGGCATGCAAAGCCAACACATCTACACACACAAAATAAATAAAATTTAAAATTCTTAAAACAATAGTACTAAATTTAGGAAAGAGTGGATGGATGGATGGATGGTTGGATGGATGATGGATAGATGGATAGATGGATGAATGGGTAGATGGATGGATGGATGGATGGATGGATGGATGGATGGATGGAAAGAAGAAAGTAAGGAGGAATTGAAGGACAGATGCACGGGTGGATGGATGCATGGATGGGTAGATGGATGAATGGGTAGATGGCTGGCTGGCTGGATGGATGGATGGATGGATGGATGGAAAGAAGAAAGTAAGGAGGAATTGAAGGACAGATGCACGGGTAGATGGATGCATGGATGGGTAGATGGATGAATGGTTAGATGGATGGATGGATGGATGGATGGATGGATGGATGGATGGATGGATGGAAAGAAGAAAGTAAGGAGGAATTGAAGGACAGATGCACGGGTGGATGGATGCATGGATGGGTAGATGGATGAATGGGTAGATGGCTGGCTGGCTGGATGGATGGATGGAAAGAAGAAAGTAAGGAGGAATTGAAGGACAGATGCACGGGTGGATGGATGCATGGATGGGTAGATGGATGAATGGGTGGATGGGTACATGGGTAGACACAGCAACCAAGAAAAGCTGGTGAATGGTGTCAGACAGTCACTGTTGTGACACAGAGGATATGCTGAGTATGAGCAGGTGCTGCACAATTCAGGTGTGGCCCAGTTTCCTACCTCAAGCTGCTGAATATACCAGGAAGGCCCCAAACCCTTCCTATTCCCCCATTCCACAGCCTCACAATGGGAAGTGGGTTTCACACCATGTTGCTTAGACCTTTACAAAGATTCCAACATCACAGACTATCTGGAAGGGTTGTCCCATCCTGGATACTTTGATTCACTGACCAAAACCTTCTTTCCAATAAAACAGAATATCAGTGAGGGAAAGCCCACATCTGAAAGACACTTAGCCCCCCTGATTTCCTCCCCATTTGTTTCAAGTCTTTGATAACTAGGACCCATCCGTGTTAAATCATGCCCCAAGTGTAAAATTCACCCCAGGTTTTACAGGATTTTTAAAAATCTCAATATTTTTCAGTATTGATCATGCTTGTTAATGGTAGTTTGGATATATAGGGTTAAGAAAATGTTTGGGAAGTAGGGGAAGCTCTGTGTGTGTGTGTGCTACAGCATATGTAGAATCAGAGGAGAACTAGCCAGAACTATTCTCCCATCTACCATGTGTATCCTGGGATCATACTCAGATCATCTGGCTTGGTGGTAAGCACCTTGACCCTCTAAGCCAACTCACTGACCCCATTTATTTATTTGGAAACAGGGTCTTGCTGTGTAACCAAGACTAGCCTAGAACTTCAATTGGTGTGCTCCAGCATGCCTGGTTCACACTCACTCACTTCTGAGAAGAGGTCTGAAATGGACTGAAGCCCATGTGTGCTTTACAGTCTGGAAGGTTTCTCACGTCCATGGTTGATGTAGATCCACCCTCAGTCAGCCAACAAGGGTTTACTGAATCCCCAGAGAAGGCAGAAAGCTTACTGCCATCTCTGCGCTCCACTGATAGTCACCTCTGGCTCCTAGGGCTTGAACCCTCACTAGTGTATGAGTCTGATACTTAACTCGGTTACTAGAACATTGTCCAACACATTGGGAACAATGGTGCCTGCCTCCTCCCTAAATCTAAAGACAAATAAAAATTTTTCAGTGAAACTTTAGTGTCCCAACTGAAAAAGCTACAAAGGTGTGGTGGCACACACCTGTAATCCCAGCTCTTGGGAGGCAGAGGCAAGCTGATCTCTGTAAATTCAAGGCCAGGCTGGTCTACAGAGTGAGTTCCAGGACAGCCAGAGCTACTCAAAGAAATCCTGTGTCAAAAAACAAAAACATGCAAGTAAGCATGCAATTCTGTCTCAGCATACTCCAGAACTTCACCCCTGCACGGGAGAGCAACTGTACACCTCTGCACACCACCTCCCCACCCCTCCCACAGGGTTCAGGTCTAGCTCCCAGCAGCTTCTATGAACCCTACCTTACCTGCTCCAGGAAGGCAAAAGAAGGAGAAGAGAGACAGGAATTTGCCTGTAAATTTAGCTCCTCTCTCTCCCAGTGAAGAGAAGCAAAGGGGTGTCGTCAGAGGGACAAAGGGGCATTTGGGGCGAACCTGACTCCTGCAGATCAGGGTGGCTGCCCTCTCCATGTCACTAAGACTCCGGAGAAGAAAAAGAAGAAAACTGCATGTTTACTTACTCCCCGAGGTCATTCCTGCCTGCACCCAAAGCAAGACCAGCTCCAGGAGCCCCGTGGGTACAAGCATCACCATCCTCCAGAGACAGGAACAGGGAGCCCACAAACCTCAGGTTGCTCCCTAGAGTGACTGGCTCAGCTCTCTCCAGACCAGGGGAGAGGGAGGGAGGTGGTGGGGCATAGGCCAGCCAATCAGAAGCTTGTGGGGACACTACTTGCTCCCTGGGGGCAGGGGGAGGAGGGGGCTGAGATCACTGAGGGGAAAGCCCTTTTTTGCCTTGGAGGAAGCTTTAGGAACCAGTGAGGTCTGGGGCAGACGGTACTGTATAGCTGTGTGGCTTTGTTCCTGTTAACATTTATTTGCATATATGTGCATGTGTGTATATGCATGTGTGTCACAGCATGCATTTGGAGGTCATAGGACAACTTTCAGGAGTGAGTTCTGTCATGTAGAGTTTGCAGATAGAGCTCCAGCTTGGCAGCAAGCTCCTTTACCTACTGAGCCCTCTCACTGGCCCTGCGGGGGTTTTGTTTGTTTATTGTTTGTTGTAATCTAATATAAAAGACATAAAATTGACTGTCTTAATGCACAAATTCAGTGACTTTGGGGACATCTAAGCCACTGAGCCATCGTCACCACCTGATAGGCCGTAGTCAGATAGTTGGCTTCTCTGCTGGAGAAGGTAGGGTGACTGTGAGGCATATCTACAAGACCTTGGGGACAGTGCTGGGGAGGGTGCCTGTCAGAGCTTTGGGCTCAGTCCCAGAGGACAGGGGAAGGCAGCTCTGCTCACATCTAGCTTGTTCTCCCCAAGCTGGCCTCAGTTTCCCTCACCCCAGAGTTCCCTCCACCTGGGCCTTTTTTGTCATGCTCCAGGTGCCAAAGCTAGACCTTTGTTTTTTGGTTTTTTTGTTTGCTTGTTTGTTTTTGTTTTTCGAGACAGGGTTTCTCTGTGGCTTTGGAGGCTGCCCTGGAACTAGCTCTTGTAGACCAGGCTGGTTTCGAACTCACAGAGATCCACCTACCTCTGCCTCTCAAGTGCTGGGATTAAAGGCGTGTGCCACCAACGCCCGGCCACTTCCTGTTTTTATGGGTGTGTCTCCTGGAGAGTTCACACAAACAAAAGCCTGGCATGTCCGCATGTGGCTTCCTTTTCAATCAGGTGATGTTCCCACCTCAAATATCTTACTGTCCAGAGCCCTGGCCACGTGGCTAAAGATGCAGCGACAATGGAGAGGCTACCTTAACTGCCCTTCCGGGATAATGAGACTGATGACTACCTTATATGCATCCTAGAGCCTTCATCCAGTGACTGATGGAAGCAGAGGCAAACACCCACAGCTAAACACTGAACTGAACTCCTGGAAACCAGTTGCAGAAAGGGGTAAGACAGGACTGGTGAAACCCACAGAGGCAGCTGACCTGAACAAGGGGGAGCCCTAGGACCCCAGACTGATGGCTGAGAGGCCAGCATGGGACTGATCCAGAGCCCCTGAACACGGGTGTCAGTGAGGAGGCCTCGGCAATCTATGGGGCCTAGTAGATCAGTATTTATCTCTGGCATACAAATGGACTTTGGGAGCCCATTCTACATGGAGGTATGCTCTCTCAGCCTGGACTCTTGGGGGAGAACCTAGGCCCTGCCCAGGATAATATGACAGATTTTGAAGATTCCCCATGGTGGGCAGTGGGGGGTTAGGGGGGTTGGGGGGGCGGGAGAGGCGGGGAGGGTGAGAGAGCTGGGATTGACATGTCTAGCAA